ACAATAATGAATTGTTATACATTAATAAACAATTACTTTATTTAAACAGTATATAAAAAAATTGAATATATATTAAAGAAATATAAATGTTAATTATAAATATTGATTATAATTTTAAAATAAAATAATAATATGAATAATAAATAAAATAATAATAAATAATATAAAAATATATTATAAAAACAATAAATAAATAATAATATAATTTATAATATATAATATATAATATATAAAAAATAAAAAATAAAATGTATAAAGGATTTATTAATGTTTAAATTTATAAAGAAACATACTGGTAATAATAAAAAAAAAAAAAAAAAGTAAAAATTAGATTTGTTTAGGGTGTCTTGTATTGGATTGGTTGAATTGGATTTTTTTTATTGCACAGTAAAAGGTATTGCAATTAATTATTTTATTAATTAATAATATTAATAATAGAGAATAATACTAAAATAATGTTATAATAAAACAATCATAGTTATATAATAATAATAATAAAAGAATAAATTTATTATTATTAAAATAAAAACGATAAATAATAAATAAAAACAAATTTATAATAAAATAAATAAAATCTATAAAAAAAGTAGTTGTAGTTAAAAAGAAATTTAAAATTATGTTTTTGATATCGGTATAATATTTTTAGTTGGGTTATTTGGCTATCTAAAATAAAAAACATATATTTGGCAATTTTAAAACATTTAGTAATATAATTAAATAAATAAGACAGATTGTTAGGAATAATAAAAAAAAAGGTTAAAAGTAAAAATGATGACTTGTTTAGGTTAGTATTCGATTATGTTAGAATTGATTGGAATGAATTTAATTGTATTGCATTAGATTATTTTGGTTTGGTGAATCGGAATTTTTTTTTATCAGTAATAGTAAAAGGTATTGGAAAGATTATCTATTTATTCATAATAGTAATAGAAATAATTGTAATAATAGAAGAATAGCAACAAATAATGTTATAATTAAAATAATCATAATAAATTGTAATAATAATAATAATAATAACTACATTACATTTACGTTTTAGGGTATAGAATGGTTACTCAAAATTAATTAAATTAATCAAAAATTAAATTTATATTAAAAAAAATTTAAATAAAAATAGTTTATTATACATTTAAATTTATTAAATAAACATTTAAGAAAATAAAAAATGTAATTTTTTTTCTTTTTCTTTTTCTTTTTTTACTTTTTTTTTATTTTTTTGTACATTTTTTTATTTTTAATATTGAATTATATAATAAATAATTAAATATTTAAAAAACAAATTAAATATAAACATTATGTATCATCATCAATATGTATAGATAAAAAAGGCCAACGTAATGATTAACAATTTTAAACTCTTTTTGCTTTGTATTAAATATTAGGATCAGATACAGCAAAAAACAGCGCTTTTTCAAGTTATATAGGGTTTATAAACAAAACCAATAATAATATTTTTGTAGGTCTATTAGATAGGTTTTTGATGAATATATTCCACTACAACAACAATATAATAAAATTTAGTAAATAGAAATAGGAAAAAGTATAATCAATAATTTTTCTTTGATTTTTAGGATAGTTAATAAAATAAAAATAGCATCTAAAATAAGCTATAAACTGTGGAAGTGTGCCATAATAAAAGATTAATAATAGTACAAATAAACTATAGTTCATAATAGGAATTCAATTTTGCCTACAAAATCAATAAAAACACACCAAAATTATACCATCATTCAATCTTATTTACATATATAACATATATAAAAAAAAAAAAAAAAAGATAAAATAAAATAAAATAAAATTAAGTTAAATTAAAATTAAAATTAAATAAACATTTTTTTTCAGACCCAACCAAAACACTATTTAAATAATTAATTTTAGTTACAGTGTTTCCATATTGTATTAAATAATATAAACATTAAACACAATTTATTTTTTTTAAAATTTTTTTTTTTTATGATAGGCCAAATCTTTTTGAAAAGATAATTTATTTTTAATTTTCAATCAAAATATCAAAAATAAAAATATTTATTTAAACACCATTTAAATGTCATTGTACACATTTTCACTGATAATCCAGTTGATATCTTTCTTGATAGAATATTATTTGTATGGTATCTTTTACCTCCATTTTTTAATTTTCAATTTATAAAAATATAGTTCAATTCAAGTTTCATCTGCAAAAATTACCCTTTTCCACTGCAAAGTCATTAAATTGAATAGCCCATTCATATCTTTATCTCTTTGTTTTTTTGTGGGATAATGTTTACATTTCAAAATTTCAAATGTAATAAAATGGCAATGAATTCAGCTTTTAATTGTTATAATTAAAACTTATACATTATAATTCTTTCAAAGATATCGTTTAATTTGTCGAAAATGATGATATATCCATCCAAAAATAAATTTTTATAACCTTTTTAATTTAATCTTTCATTATTTTTTAGTTCTTAGTTATTTTTTATGTTCAATTGGATCATTTAATGAATAGTTTCTCAAAATAGCTATATTGTTGATCCCATGCATCCAACTATTTCTTTTTTTTGAATGGTTAAATCATCATTAATTTTTAAAGTATTACTATTTTTTCAAGTTGATTATGCCATTTTATTTTATTTATTATTTTTATTAAAATAAAATATTATTATAATAAGAATAATAAAAATAAGAAAAAATAAAAAAAAAAAAAATATTAATTATTTTTCTGTAAAGATTTAGCTTACTTTTTTACATGGGAAAAATAAAAATAAAATAAAAAAAAATAAATAAAATAAAAAGGCAGTATTTTTATAAATTTTATTTTTTTAAATTTTTAAATATGTTATTTTTTTTGTATATTTACTTTTTAATTGATAAATTAAAAATTAAATAGTGTAGATAAACAATAATTAATAGTATTGAATAAATACTCATACTAATTCAAAACAATTTAGAAAATATTGTAGGTAATAAATAAATAATTTTTATTTTTTATTTTATATTTTTTTTTTTTTTATTTTTTTTTTTGATTACTTTGATGCAATAGTTTTTATAAATAAAAACCTTGCATTTCATTCATATTATAGGAGGCAAAATACTACCAGGGAAAGGTTACCACTACATCACAATGATTTATGAAATTATTATAAAAAACTCTAAAGATATCCCAATTTTTCAAGAACCCATAAAAAATTGTGAGATTATAATGAAAAACAAACCTTTTTTTATAAAATTCCCATTAGAGATATTCCAATTTTTCAAGAACGCATAAAAATAAATTTTTAAAAAAATATAAATTAAGTGATTCCAACCATAATTTTCAAATTCAAAGAAAAACATAGATTTTTTGCCCACACCGAAAAATTATTTTGTAATATTTATTTTTTTTTAAACAATATTTTTTTTTTTTCAAAATTCCTTTTTCTTCATATCCTTTATAATACTAAATGAAATAAATAAATACAATGAAATTATTTATATTATTTTTTTTTATCTTTTTTAATTTTTTAGTAATTGAAGGTATAAATTTTAAAAAAAAAAATATGGTTATTTAATTTCTAAAAGAAATTTTTTTAATTTTTTTATTTAATTTTTAAATATTAGGGACAAGTGTATTAAAATCAAATATTGTTGAAAAGAATAATATAAATACATTGGGTGTTGAATATAGTTATGCAATTGGTGATATAGAGTTATCAGATGAATTATACTATTATGATTGGGTATCATGTCCAAAGTTTACCTGTCCATCTACAACTAACGATACTCTATTAAAAGATTGTACATGTGATTTTACAGATAAAGATAATTGTCCCAAACAGATTGGTACTAATTGTGATAAATGTCCAGATAATTTTTGTAATGATGATTGGGAAGTACTTAATAAAACAAATTATGTATATAATTTTTCAATCAATAAAACTACTGAATTTAGATATAAACCAAAGGAAAAAGTTTGTATGGGTCTATCATTGAAAATTAATTCTCATGATGGTTATGGTTTAGTCTTAGGTGGTAACAATGAAGTTGAAAAATTTAGAATTTACGGACAAAAAAATATTCTTTTGCAATTTTGCCCAATGGACTTAGATCCCTTTAGTAAAAGTAAATATTAATTTATATTTTCAAAAATATAAATTTCTTCTTTTATAATTACTAATTTTTTTTAGATATTTGGACAACGGATACCTACTTTTTTGATATTATTCCACTTTCTAAAACCTATAATTTTTCTTTAATTTTATATTCAATTGAAATCGACAATGTATTAGACCCAGGTTATGGGTGTAACGAAAATGAAACACACCCAGGAATAGGAGAAATTTTTTGTTTAAAATTAAATAATAATACTATATCAAGTGGTATTAAAAATTATTTTTTAGATATTTTTAATTCAGACTTTTATTATTTTAATGCCCCAGCTTTACCTTCATCTCCTCAATTATACATATCTAAAAATTCAACAAACAAATTCCCAACATCAGAAAATTGTGATTGGAGATCCATCGAAGAAAGTATATAATACATAAAAAACATTCCTAATACCCAAATTATTATTTTATTAATAATATTTTTAATTATTTTAATTTTTTTTCAGCTGATAATAGTTTAATGTTATATTTAGAACCAATTAATAGTACCCACCCTTTAAGAATTTATATTACTGTGTTTCCATTGGATATATTTTCATATCCTTTTTCTATTCAGAATCAAGGGAATAAATATCTACATCGTGTTTCTGAACTATCTCCTCAATCAGGTTATATAACTTTAAAAGGTTCATCCAAATTAGTGTTACCAAATGGTATTAAATATTTTACCCCATCTATTTTATCAGATATTACAAAAACAGCATTTTCACCGTTATACCCATCAAAATTTTTAAATCCCATTTGGACACCATCCAATGTAATTTTTGGTGATTTTTATGAATCAATTAAATTACTGGTACCTCCCTTTAATGAATTTAAACCAAATTCTTATCAGTTTTCATTTATACTTTCAGAAAAAAATATTGATATTTATTATAAATATCAAGATTTCAAAGTAATTAAAAATTCAACTTTAATTTTAGATTCCACTTTATACAATAAAGATGGAAAGGTATGTTTTTTTGTGTGCTTCACAACCCTAAAATTTTTTTTTTTTTACACAATTTATTAATTTTTTTTTTTTTTTTAGCTAATTGAATTAAGTATAAAGTTTGATCAAGTTTATTCAAGTTTAGAATGTGATGCTAATGAATTTAAATTAGTTACTCGATATATAAATGATATCAAAAAAAAATTACTAGAAACAAATGATATTGATGAATCAACAAATTTAAGATTCAATCTAGATTATTTACATTCAACTGATTTTTGGATAAAGTGCAGAGATAAAGTTAATAGTTACTTTATTAACCAACCTCAACCAGAACAAATATTGGTTAAAAATTGTATACATTCACCAAGTGATCCAGAGTTTGCAACCAACCCATGCTGTAGCCCAAATCAATCATATTATCAATGCTGTAATCCTACACCAATTAATGTAACATATATAACGCCTATTGATAAAAATAATCATTTGATCGGTGAAGAATGTTTAAGTCCTGAATGTACAAAATCTGTTTTAAATGAATACGAAACGACCCTATGGATGGATAGGGTTGATATATGCAGTTCTTCACAATTTTCGATTTTAAATATTGGCTTTTCCACAACAAATAAAATTAGAATATGTAAGAATGTTATATACTCGCCTATTTGTTCAAAAGATTCGGATTGTAAAGAATATGGTAAAATAAAGAAATGTAATTTGTATACTAGAAAATGTATAGCCGATTTCGAAAGCATTGATAAAAGCTACATCAAATGTGTTTTGGAAAAATTGTCAATTTCATCTCTTTTTTATCTTACAAATTCGACATCTTTTAATAGTGATACAATCGATACTTTATATAATAATCATTTATCCTCAGATTGTGTAGGTAGTATATCAATTATGGATCGTTCGACATACTCATTTTATTCACCCAACTACAAAAATAGATGTAATAAAAATTCTAATTGTCTGGATTATTCTTGTTTACTAACACATGACATTTGTTTTGATGTTTTAACTGGAATGTCTTTTCATAAAACTTCAAGTGACCATTGTGACAATTATGGTTTTTGTAGAAGCTTACCCTGCACCAATTCTTTAGAATGTAAAACACAATGTAATGAGGCACCATCTTCTTTTTGTGGTTATTGTACTGATGAAAATCTTACTCAATGTCATAATTTAAATAGTATTACAAACAAAAACGAATGCGAAACTCATAGTTCAATATGTTTATTACCCAATGGTGCAATTTTAACAGGAAAAACTGAAAAGGAATGTACTGAAACTTATGGAGAGTGTTCACATAATAATTGTGGCGATATTTCTTGCACCTCTATTTTCGATGGGGTTGATTCTGGGTGCTTCGTAAATTTTCCAAAGGAAATATGCTTGCTAGCCAATGGTACATTTTTGGGCTCAGAATTCTATACAATCTGCTTACTTAACTTAGACCAAGTAAATTGTAAAAAAATTGGTTTAGATTGGATAGATTGTGGTTCAAAATCAGTTGGAGAGTGTGGTGGAAGTTATAATTTTCCACTTGTATGCACTGAAATGTACTCTGGCAAGTGTAACAAATCTCAATGTGAGTCTATAGCTGGTGAATGTTCTGATAAATATTTCTTTTCACCAAATTCTAATCCTTATTATCCAAGTGGTTTGGGTAAATGTGTTCATAAACACTCGGAAATAAGAAATTCTATTCAATGCGATTATTATGAAAATGATTCACCAGAAGGGTGTTACTATTATGAACCAATATATTTTAGAAAAGAAATATGTGAAGCAAATATTGGTTATAAATGGTGGACCCCAGCTTTAACAAAAGAGGAATGTATTTCAAAATATGGTTGTCTCACTATGTTAGACCCAAGTTTAATTGTACCACAATTTAATATAAAATTTAATGAAATGAACAAAGAAATGTGCAAGGGATGTGTTAATTCTTTTAATGAATGGATGCCAAAGTATTATTGGACTGCAGGAACATGGCATCCAGGTGTTTACGTTAAACCAAAATGGATCAATAACCAATATATTTCAAATATAAAAAACCCTAATACATTTAATTATCAATTGTTTTATGAATCAGTTGAAAAAACTATCAAAAATCAAAAAATAGAAATTTATCGTACCCAATCCATTTGCAGAAATGAAAGAGCTCAGTTATCAATCGAACAAGTAATGTGTAGCTGTATTGAAAACAATGATTTATCCCAAGGTAATGCCTCACAATGTTTCCAATCATCAGGGGCACCTTTGATTTTTCAATCAAATATATGTAATAGTATAAGATATGAAACCACATTTGTTTTCGGAAAAGTTATATTCGATGGAAATAATATTAATCAAACATGCCAACCTATAGTCGTATCTTTAGTTAGTAAACAAGGGTATATATTATCAATTCCTGAATCTTTAGCATCCAATTTTGTATCTTATAAAAAACCACCAAGTTTTTCTCTTTTAAATTCTAAAAATGCTACCATTGGTTATTTGTTGAGCGATGGTATTAAAATTCAATCGAGTGAAGGTATTGACCAAGTGGAGATTTGTTTTGTTAAATCAATGTTGGGAAATAGCCATGATGATTTTCCAGTAATGGATGTTGCTCTTCAAATTAATAATCAAACATCACCTCTACCATTAGAATTCCCAAGTGGCAATATTAATAGTACGGATAATAATTATATTTGTTTTAATGTGCCTAATGTTCCAAAAGGTGATTCAACTTACTTTTTAATTTCTCGTATAAATGATAAAGATTGGAAAACTAAAACAAAAGAAATTTTCGATAAAGAAACTAAGGTTTTGATGTATATATTAGCTGTTATATTTTTATTGGTTTCTTTATTTGGTTTATACGAAATTATAACTATAATCATATTTTATTTTAAAAAAATTATAATACAATTCCAATTAATTCAATCATTAATTATAATTATAACATTATTTATTTTAATTAGAACAATATATTTCTTTTTATTAGCTAATGGTAAATATATAAATTTTATATTAAGAAAAAAAACGAGAACTAAAATTATTATTTTTTTATTTTTAAAACAAGGTAAACTTCAAGATAACCCTGTTTTAGATTATATTTTAGTGGTTTTACCCACTTTTATTTATTTTACAGCATTTAGTTCATTAATTGTTTTATGGTACACAATCGTATTTTTGGTTTTAAGAAATAATAGTGGAACTGGTGTTACAAAAAAATTATATTCAATTGTTATCACTGTTAATATAATATTATATTTATTCTTTATTGCCATTGTATTGGTATTCCAATACACTCCATCTTCACCAAGGAATGATTGTGCTGGTCGTATTGTCATGGCCAATGAAGCTTCACCTTCACAAAAAGCAATTAGTTTAGCGTATGCTATTGTACAAGCGGGTCTCAGTTTGGTTATTTCGGTTGCATTTATATATTTAGGTAGAAGTCTTTATAAAACGATATCAACTAGTAAAAAAAACCTCTCGAACACTAAACACCAGAAAAAGATCTTTTTATTGTCTACAATATGCTCAGTTGGTTTCTTTCTACATTGTATATTTGTTATAGTTTTGGTTACTAATATATCATCTATGACATTTAGCTTCATAGGTTTAATTATCACCGAGGTAATTCCAGTAGTTAGTATATTGTATTGTTTTAATCCAAATGATCAAAATAACAATAATAATCATAGTAGCAAAGAGGGTATTAAAAGATATAAAAATGGTAAATATAAAGTTGGTAAATCTAAAAATACCTCTAAACTTTCTGAAAATAGTTCGGCAATTTCAAATACCACGAGTACTACAGATGAAACAACCAATTCTTCAATAATAAACATTAGTAACACATAATAAATATATTGATTAAAATAAAGGGCTTTCTCTCACATGGTTTTTTATTGTCTGTTAAAAATTTTAATTTATTATTATTACTTTCATGATTTTTAAATTTATTATATTGTCTTTTGTTTTTAATGCATATTTTAAAATTGATTTATTAAACTATCTTTATTTGTTTTAAAAAAACTTTATTTCTTTTAATTTACAATATTGATTTAATATCCATCTACTTACAATAATATTAATTATAAGTTTTTTTTTTGATTCATTATTTCATTTTGATATCTATAGTTTTTTTTATATTATAAGTAATATAAAATATTGTTTTATAAAAAAAAATTTTGAAAAATATAAAAAAAACTTTATATAAAAAAAAAAATAATGGGTATTATCTCACCACTTTCACACCCAATCCAACTTAATTCAAAGTCATTTACTTAAATAAATAAATTACCAAAAAAATTTTGTAAAACTTAAGAAAATTTTGTAAAATAAAATAAAAAAAGTTTTTTAAATTAAAAAAAAAAAAAAAAAAAAAAAAAAAAAATATTTATTTTTATTTATTTATAAATTTTGATAGATTTTTTATAAAAATTATTAAAGTCATTGTTTGTGTATTGAGTTTCTTTGTAAATGATTTCATCTAATTTTGGAAATAGTGATGGAGTTGTTGTTTTGTAAAATTCAATATAAGTTTTATTTTATTAATAAAAAAATCTACCAATTGTACCATCTGGATAAATAAAAGGATATTTAATGAATATAAAAATTGTTATTAAATTTATAAATATAAAATAGAGAATATCTATTAAAATTAAAAATTTAATTTTACTATTATCCAAACTATTTTTTGTTTTATCTTTTAATTTTTTTGTTATTTGATTATTTAAATAATGAAATTGGTTGAATTGGAAAAAGAAAAATGGGACTATATAATATCTTGGTTCAACAAGCGGACTAAAAATTTAAAAAAAAAAAGTAAGTTAACATATTATTTTATAAATTTATTATAAAAAACAATTATTTACCTTGGTAATAAAACTAAACAAGTTGAAATAAAATAAAATAAACACCAAAGTTTTGTTTTATTTTCTCTTAAAACTTTCCAAATAAACCAACAGCTATAAATATAAAGTGGAATTGGTACATATTTTGCAAATTCGTATCTATTAAAAAATCTATTCCAAATATAAAATGTATAATGTCTATTATCTGATAATAAAAATAAATGTGTATATGTAAATTTATAAATTGATAAAATTATTAAAATTATTATTGGTAATATAAAAATATTTAATGATAAAATAAATTTAATTGGATCATAAATAAAATTATTATTATTATTATTATTATTATTATTATTATTATTATTATTATTATTATTATTATTATTATTATTATTATTATTATTATTATTATTATTATTATTATTATTATTATTATTATTATTACTATTATTATTATTATTATTTAATCTTTTTAAAAGTGATGAAATAATTATTGATGGGAATGAAAATAATAATGTAAAAGTTGAAAAATAATATAGTTGTGGTATGTGAAGTGATGATTCATGATTACTTTTATCGCCTACAACAATTCCTTTATTAATTAAAAGGAATAAAACAAATAAAATACCAACCAAAATAAAACCAAAAAATTTAGAAATTAAAACTTTAATATTTTTTAAACAAAAAATAATAAAATTTATAATTTCTTTAAAAATTGATTCTTCTTTTTGGCTTTTTGTTTTATTTGTTTCATAAAAATCCAAAATATTTATTATTGTAATAAAAAATACCCAAATAATATTTGTTTGTCTTATTAAGATACCTAAAAATCCAAACTTATAAAAAGAAAAATATTAAATTAATATCTAGGTTAATAAATCTATAATATTTTAGAAATATCTTACCAAAGATGATAATTTAAATTTATACTTTAACGAAAATAATAGAGTTAAAAATATTGATAAAGTAGAGACAACATCGGTG